TAATCCAACAGCAGCCCCACTTCTATTCCTAACTTACTGGAGGCAGAACGGCCACTGGAAGTGGTTTTCAACTGCTTCCTGTGGTTCCCCCGACTCTGCGGGGCAGGGGCTTCTATTTTTAGAGAGTGACCATTGCCATGAAGGTCCAGTCGGCCATAGATGCGATGTGGGGACTTGCGGGTGGCCTGGGCAGACTGGGTGGGCTCTTCATTCAGATGGTATTTTAAGAGTTCCTTTCAAGTGACGCATAGTGGAGAAGGCCACCACTTCCTCCTGAAGGGTAAGAGGGTGTGTCGAGGCCAACAGACGCTAGGATGCTTGGCCGTAAAGTGTGTCACTGTGTTTGGAGGGCTGGTGGCCTTCCCATATGAGGCTGCATGGCTGGCGTCCATGAAACACCAAGATGTGTACACGCTCATTTGCATTTACCATGTACCTTCTCTGAGTATGACGGTACGTTGTGGATTTTTGTTCAGAATGGCTCAGTTTCACATATTCTGTTCCCTTCCAGTCAATGGGTCCCGTGTTAGTTTGGGTTTCCTGGGAAGCAAATCCTGGCACAGGGGTTCACGTGCACGTTGCTTCCGTGGGAGATGGTCCCCGTCAGCACCCCTTGGGGCGTGGGCAAGCGAGGCAGGGATGGGAGACAGCCAAGGATGTCGGTGAGTCGGAGATTCCTCAGAAGGCACTGCGGGGCCAGGTGGCCCATTTCTCCAGCTCTCCGAGGCCGCAGGTTCTTCTGAAGGTGAAGGACCCTCTTTGTGGCCAAGCTGGGGCTCCAGTTGACACGTAAGCCTGCAAACATGGGAGCAGGAAGCAGGGAACGGAGCAGGGAAAAGAATTCACAGAGAATCTGGATGGCGAGAGCTGTGGTTTCTGTTGGTTTTCCTGCCCCCTTGGCTGTTTTTTCTCATGGCTCTCATTTCATCACAGATGAAACTTTGTCACAACTCAGTATTCGTACAGCACTCCTCCTGGCTATGAAGCATGATCCGAATGCTTTAGATGCATTTCTTTTTCTCTCTCTGTTTACTTTGCATCTTATTTTGTGCACGCATTTTATGCAAATCACACCCACAATGAAATACCCCCACGCGGCCACAAGGACAGCTAAGGTTAAAAAGGCTGATAATTCCAAGTGCTGGCGAACATATGAGCAACAAGAACTCTCACACGTTGTGAAGAAAACAGGATGGCCTATCTTATAAGGTTAAATACAGACTCACCATAGGACCCAGTAATACCCGCTTCTAGATGTTACCCCAACAGAACGCACGTCCACACAAAGTCCTGTGCATGGATGAGCACAGCAGCACTGCTCATACTAGCCCCAAGCTATCTGGAGCATTCTGCCTGGGTTCAAGCCCCGCCTCTGCATGTTAAAATGCTGAGTGATGCTGGCTTAGAAACTTAGCCTCTTTGAGCCTCTCTTCCACATCTGTCTAATGGAAATAACAGTAGCGACCCCCTCATAGGGCTGTTGTGAGTATTAAATGAGTGAATATGTCTGAGAGCTCCATATTGGGTTACTTGTGTCCCTCAAAAAGATATGTTCAAGCCCTAATCCCTGGAACCTGTGAATACGACCTTATTTGGAAACACGGTCTTTGCAGACCTCACCACCAAGGGCTGAGGTGAAATGTCTGCTGGGACTGCTTCCCAGAGGTGCACGGCACCACCCAGGGCCTTCTCCACCGCGTGCAGCGATGAGAGACAAGCTTCACGGGCATCCCTTGGGCCAGCAGATGGCCAGGGGTGTGGCCCAGCTCACCTGTATCCTACCTGGGCCGTCTTAACAGGTCCATCACCCCCTGGGGCTGCCCCCGCAGAGCTCTACCAAGCACATGTCCTGACATCGGCGGGCGGCCAGGCGCGCTCACACACACATGCTTGGGCGGAGATGCATATCACAGCCCCTGAGATGTGGGTTTTCTTCCAGATCAGATATGGGCCGAGGCCTCGCAGCTCCAGCAGAAGGGAGGAGAGGCACCGCATCTGAGTTGCATTAGCCAAACCAGCCCCAATTTATTTTTCCATGCCTGAGAATAATGATACATTTTTAGTCTTGTGAGATGCTGCACTTCAGGGAAAAGGCACAAAGACTCAAGTAACCCTGAATGCGGTTGTGGCCAGGCCCCTTCCGTGGATTTCTCTCCACCTTCCCGGGACTCCGAGAGACCCAGCTCCCATCCCCGGCGTCCTTCATCCCACCCCGTTCCGCTCTCGCCCCCAACACCCCTCTGCAGGTTGCCTTTTATTTCAACACAACACGTCAAAGAACGAGGTTTGGTTTTGGGAGCCCAGGTTTGTTGCTTGCAAAAGACTGTCTAAATGGAGTGACGCAGGTGTGCTTTGGGGGTGGTCTGAGAGACAGAGAAGCCCGGGGACAACACCAAGCCCGTGGGCTAGTGCAGCCCCAAACCGGAAGCTTTCCAGCCAAGCAAGCACGGTGAGGAGAGACTGGATGGACCTCAGCTCAGACCACAGTCATGATGAGATCCACGTCTGTTCTTGGCAAGTATCCGATAGGAGAAAGTCTGCCTTCCGTCCTATACCACTTTCTGTTTGTGCTTTTTCTCCTTTATTTTAATGCAACTCCCTCTCCCCTTTAACACACCTTTAACCCTCTGTGACCTTGTGCACTCTCAGCAGCGCTGCCCTACTGAGACTTGTTCCAAAAAGCCAGTGTCAGTCATTTACACGTTAGTATAAATAAGCCACGGACGGGCTCCTTTTCTGGGCTGGAAGTGGCATTTAAGCCCCAGTTGTTCAGCGCTTGAACCAGCAGGCAGGCTGCGGCTGTCTGTATCTATAGCTGAAGCTGCTCCTGCCTGAGGTGGACAAAAACACGTTTGCAGCACATACTCATCATGGGCCCATGCGCACACGTGCGTGTGCGTGCATGTGTACAGGTGCACACGCACACTCTTCCAGGATCCCAGGGTGGAATACAAGTCACAGTTTCCAAAGGTCGTTATGGGTGTTCCAGCACTGAGAAGCGCTGCCAATGTTGTCCTCCGAAAAGGAAGTGAGTGTTCCCATGCTGGAACGAGCCGGCTGTGTCTACCCTTGATGGTGGCGGCGGGGGCGGCGGGGGGGGGGGCGGGGAGGTCAGGACCCAGGGACGCTGATGACCCTGGGTATGAGGTGTATGGGGCTTTGCACTTATTACAGAGTCACGTTATAAACAGGACTTCTTTTTAATGGTAGTGGGCACCAACTCAAAGATGTCTGCTGAAAAACTGTGCTCTTCTCTCTGCTGACTCATTTGGTGGGAATTACAGCCCCAAATGCCAGCGTGTGGCTGAGCCACATGACCCTCCACTGAAAAATAAGGACAGGATAGTTTCGGTATTGCAAACAAACAACGGAGATGCAGCCAGATCTTCTTCCTCTGTTTGTTTTTTTCATTCACATCAACAGCTCTACACCCAGCATTCAGTGTGACCCCCCCCCTGGGCCAGTGCCTCCAGATTTGAGAAGAGAGAGGAATGGGTCACAAAGTGACCGCACTGCTTTTTAAAATTTTTTTTTATTTTTTATTTTTTTGTGGTATGCGGGCCTCTCACTGTTGTGGCCTCTCCTGCTGCGGAGCACAGGCTCCGGACGCGCAGGCTCAGCGGCCACGGCTCACGGGCCCAGCCGCTCCGTGGCATGTGGGATCTTCCCGGACCCGGGCACGAACCCGTGTCCCCTGCATCGGCAGGCGGACTCTCAACCACTGTGCCACCAGGGTAGCCCTGCTTTTTTTATTTTTTAGTAAGTGAAAAGGAACCTTGGTATGTAACAGAGAGAGGAAATGAAAACTCTGAATGGTCTGATTTTTCGGCTGAGTCCTAGAAGTAGTAGCATGATAAATAAGCTGAAAGGAGAAGCAAACCCTGGACTCCAGCTCACTCTGCCACTAACTAGCCTGGTCACCTGTACTGCCATTTTCCCTCTGGGACCCCAGGTTTCTCATCAGCGAGATGAGGAAGTTGGTCTTGGCCAGAGGGGCTGTTCCCTGGAACATACAACCCCAGGCCAGCACCCACCCCAGGCACGGCTTATTGGTCAGCTCATGTTCTCCGGCAGACCTCTGAACCCTTCTCAACCCCGCTCTCTGTGAGCCATTAGCAATCGGTCAGAAAGCTAACAGCTACATGTGGTTGTCATATCCACATGTGCTGTGTTTGCCAACTATTTCCAGTAGTTTCCTGTCCAGGATTTTGGTAGGATTGCACTGCCTGCCTTTTTGGGTGACTAGTTCAGGCCAATGAGTCATGAGCCAGTGAGAAATGGGTCACTTCTGGGCTGGGGTGCCTCAGTGCTGCCATGAGACCCTCCACATCCCCCATGCCTCACAGGGCAACTGGAATTATCAAGTCATTGAGCAGAGGGCTCTGCTGACCTACAATGGACCTGCCCCATGAATGAGAAATAAGCCTTTATTTAAAAAAAAAATAAACCTCAGAATTTGGGGGTTGTTTGTTACTTCAGCGTGTCTTGGCCCTTCCTGACTGATACATCATCCTCGGCCTCTTGGGCCCTGTGGTTTTACAAGTCTGGGTCTGGTGACTTGGCCGTTCTGCCTGATTCAGAGCTGTCCCTTGGGACACTGACATCAGACCAAAAAGTTTATGGCAAGGACTCCCATGATGTTAGCGCTCAGATCTGTTTATGGTCCTTCAAGGACAGTTTTCCCAGCTAGTCGAGACACACCAGAGCCAATGTCCAAACACTGACCACACCCTTCTGGTGTCGGGATGTCCTGAGAAGCAACATAACAGCTAGCAGTTCTACGTTCACCTCTCTTCGTTTGCACGACATTTGCCAGCTTGAAAAACAAGTTCTCACACCAGTTTTCCTTTAAAAATGGTGGGTCCGGGGCTGTCCAAGGTTCTGTGTTTTACTCCTAAACCTTTCCTCTAGACCAGTAGAAGCCATGACACTAAAGCAATGTGTGAAGACAGAGGGAAAGAACGCCACCCATGATGCTAACCGACCGGAATCTTACTCACCAAAGAGGTAGCTTCCTCCAGGAATCATCCGGGCCCACGTGCGTGCAGGGCTGTGTAGGCGCAGAGATGGAGAGAAATGGACCCTTCCCTCGGGGCGTCACTGTCCAGGGGGTAGAGTGCAGTGTAGCAGGAGGTGGAGTCTGTCAGGCTTAAGCCTCCCTGTTAGAAAGTGACAATCCCGAGGTTAGTCTTCAGCAGAGAGGCTGAGTCACGTAACGCTCAGGTCTCTGGAGCCTGCAGACCTGTCTTCACGACCAGTTTGCCCACTTTGCCACTTAATTCACTGTAAACGTGGGCCAGTTGTTTAACTGGACAAGCTGAAAAATCACCGGTAACTAACACAACACTGTTAATCAACTATACTCCAATATAAAATGAAATTTTAAAAAAAGTCATCTGTAAACCAGGCAGCAACATCCATTATTACAAACTTATGTATGAGTGATGGAGCCCATGCTTTGCGCCCAAGCCTGCTGCCCAACGTCTGCTGGGGACTCCCTAACCTCTGGCTGCTGTCACCCCACTTCCAGCAGGAAAGGGACACCCCAACGCTCGAGGGCACCCCACACGTTCTGTCCCTGCCACCCTGTGCTCAAGAAATCTAAGACTCACTCCCTGAAAGAAACATCGGGCAAACGAGGAGGCTCTTAGGAGCCCGACAAGCCTCTGAAGGTGCCGGCAGCCCCACTGCTGAAGCTTTAAGTCCCGCGAAACAGTCACTATATGAACAGAACACTTGCATTAAATGTGCTAGACATGTCTAAGAGAATAAGAATACAGAATCCCTGCTCTTTTTTTTTGCCATTTACAAAATTTTTATTCAAAAATTAACATACCGTAAGATTAATTTTCAAAATTCCATTTATAATAATGAACTAATTCAAACATACAGAAGAGGTCAACCAGCCCTTGCTTTGCACACTGCCGTGTTAACCCAACTCACGCATAAACCCACGGGCACGCGTGCCCGTGAATGTGGAGCCACCAAAGCCAGGACTCCTTACAGAGTGATGTGGTAAACACTTCTCTACCCCCTCATGGGCTTGACAAGCTTTTTAAACACTGGGATGGGATTTCTGGCAATTTTTGTTCCATCCTTTGCACTTCTCTGTGTTTTTTTCCCCTTGAAGTCTGTATATGGAACATGCATTCCCTCTGCAATCATACTTTACGGTTAAAATAATAATGCAAAGCAATAATGCATCTTGAACTCTGCTCTTGAAATGTTTACACCTGATAGCTTGTTTCATTTCCGCCACACCCATGTGAGATACTTGGGATTAGTACTATTTGATTGTTGCGGATACAGGCTCAGAGAGGCGACGTGAGCTGCCCAGGGTCACACAGCTCCTAACAGGGTGAGGTGGAGAGTCAACTGGTGTTTTTTCATGTAAGACGGCTCTTATCACTGAACCAGAGCCACCTCCTTGGACGGTGAAAAGTTCTTGGGAAAATCTTACTGCTGAGATGATATGCCTTTTAAAAAAATAATTAATTATTTTTGGCTGCGTTGGGTCTTCGTTGCTGCGCGTGGGCTTTCTCTAGTTGCGGCGAGTGGGGGCTACTCTTCGTTGCACTGCGCGGGCTTCTCACCGCGGTGGCTTCTCTTGTCGCGGAGCACGGGCTCTAGGCACACAGGCTTCAGTAGTTGTAGCACGCAGGCTCAGTAGTTGTGGCGCACAGGCTTAGCTGCTCCGCGGCATGTGGGATCTTCCTGGACCATTTTTTTTTTTTTTTTTGGAAAGGTGTGGCATTTTATTAACAGATGGTCATAATGGAAATGTGACCAAAATTCACAAATAGGGAAACTGAGGAACACATAAACGACTAGAATCAAATCACAAGACCTGAATGAATACTGATGGAATCAGCTCCGTCACAGTTACAGTTCTGTTTCCTATCCATTTTTCTTTGAATCCATGTCCCCTGCACTGGCAGGTGGATTCTTAACCACTGCTCCATCAGGGAAGCCCAAGAGATGATATGTCTTTTAAACAATGGCACACGTCCCTGTTGAAAGAAGCATTTCTCTTGAGTTAAGGGCTAGGAACTCACTCTCCTTCAGAGAGAATGCTGAAAAGAAGCCGTCAGCCCTTTCTCCCTCTCCCTCAGCTGAAGAGTAAATATATTTTGGCTGCGTTTAAGTTACGAGAACGTAAAGAGAGAGAAGTTTACTAGTTGTGGGTAATCTATACAATCTGTAACTACAAAATCATTTCTATTTACTTATATTGAAGGGTCTAACCTGGTATTCTTTTAAAACAACCCCTGCGTAGACTGCAGAAAGGAAAACTAACCATGGCAACCGTGGTCGTGGAAGACAGAGAGCTGACAACAGAGAGCTGACAACAGACAGCGTGCGATCGGAGTCTGAGGCTCAGAGATGATCTAAAGCAGCACCTCCTGAACTTCGCTCTGCGAGCAATTTTCCTGGGGCTCTTGTTCAAATGCAGATGCTTATTTGAAGGTCTGGTGTGGGGCCCAGGACTCTGCATTTCCAACCTGGAGTCTCAAGGGCCTTGGATCTGGTTTTGCAGCTCGGAAGCACATTAGAATCACCTGAAGCTTTGAAGATCCTGGCACCTGAGCCCAACAGCAGACAGATTAAATCACACACCCTGGCGCTGGACCCAGGTGATTCCAGTGTGTGCGGCCAGGCTTCAGAATCACTGCTTACAACAAATAGTTCTCAAACCTTTAATCCCAGGAACACTTGACACGCTTAAACATGATTCAGGATTTTTAAAATTTTTATTGGAGTCTAGTTGATTCACCGTGTTGTGTTAGTTTCAGGTGTACAGCAAAGTGAATCAGTTACACATATACATATATCCACTCTTGTTTTAGATTCTTTTCCCATATAGGCCATTGCAGAGTATTGAGTAGAGTTCCTCGTGCTCTACAGCAGGTCCTTTGATTCAAGACCTTGAAGAGCTTTTCCTATCCTATTTATCACATTAGAAAATAAAACTAAGTAATATAAAAAAATTCATTGATTCATTTCATTTTATGTTAAAATGAAAACGTGTTTTATGAAAAGTAACTATCTCACAAAACGAACAGAATTGAGTGAGGAAGGTGGCACTGTTGCCTGTCTGTGCCTCGAGTATCTGCGTGACTAGGACACAGTTCAGGCCTCCCCGCTGCCCCTCCCTGCACGTGACCTGCCGCTCTTCATCTTGTTTCATCCCCAGCGACGCTGACCCAATGTGGAACTCACAGAAGAGGAAGCCGAGCCCCGAGGGTGCAAGGTCTCTGTCCAAAGTCACACCATGAGCACCAGGGCCCAGGCTGACTGACTCTAAAACCAGCACTCTCAACCGCTAGGCTAGATCCCCCCCATGGGTGGACGAGACACAAGGGACTGGGTCTCATGCTCCTTAAGAGCCCCGTGAACGTTTCCTGGAAGGTGCTCAGTGAGCCCCCAGTGTCCCTCCGTCTGACGCCTGCAGCCTGGACTGTCACGTGTCCAGCCTTCTCACTGCCCAGCCTGCAGTGCTTGATGTGTTTTTGTTTGATTCCGTGAGATTGCGCAAATTCATGCAGTGCTTCCTGTGGGTCAGGCACTCCTCTGGCATTCCATAAATACCAACCCCTTTTATCCTCATGGTAACCCTGTGCTGTAGGTTCAGTGTTGCTCCCATTTTACAGGTGAGGAAACTGAGGCCACACAAAGCCAGGATTTGGACCTCTGCAGTCTGGCTCCAGCTAAAGATCTGTCCTCTGCTGCGTCCAGTGACAAAGGGACCTGCTCTGGTCTAGAAGGCCACCCCGAGGCGGTGAGGGCCTCTGCCTGGAATACTGGAGCATCTTTCCCTCCAGTTCAGAGCGTCCGCCTTGGCACTGGGCTCTGCAGCCATCCACTGGCCCTGCCACGGCTCACCAGGGATTACCTCTGTCAGCCTGCAGTTCCTCCTCCATTCTGTTACCTGCTCACGACAGCCTCTCCTCTGTACCTTGCTGGCCGTCACTGTGGCTGGGGTGTACTTCTCTCCCCCTTGGTGATGGCTTTGGTTAGTGGCATGTGGGCAGGAGTGACAGCGTGTGAGTTCTGAACCAAGACCTAGAGAGCCACAGTGGATTCCTCTTCACCCTCTTGCATTCCTGCCACCATCACTGGAAAAGCATGCCCGTGTAGCTGCTGGTCTTAGAATAGGCAACACGTGGAGCAGATCTAAACCTGGCCCACAGCAGAGCCACCTGGCTTACAGATCTGAGAGAAAGAAACACATATTTGCTACTGGAAGCCTCTGCGATCTCAGGGTCATTTGTTACACAGCATTAAGTGCCGAGTGTGTCATTTGATAACAAGGGTGGAGACGATGTGTGAGCAGCTCTTAGTGCGGTGTCTGGCTCAGGGCAGCCCCTGTGAACATGAACCATTATAACAGCTACTTCAGATGCAGTTTCCACACAGCCCCTCCTCTTTCTCCCTTCCTTAGTCAGCCGAGGCTCTGCAGCCTGCCCACCCTCCCCACCCAAAGGAACGAGGTGCTCACATACCACGGGGCAACAGGCTTGGGAGCCTGGGCCAGGTTTGTGGAAAACGGGAAAAAGCCCTGGCCTCAGTGAATGGGGTTTTTCAACCTTATCTCGAATTCTCTTGGTGAGGCTGGTGGGTTTGTGCCTGACGGTGTTTTCTGAAAGGGTCTTTGTGGTATGAGCGTGGATGAAAAATGAGAACCAGGAAGGAAACAGGCTTGACTTTGTTAAGAAGTGTTGCGGGTTTCAAAGGAAACTTGAAGGTGAGTCCAGGGCATGGGCCTGGCTATGGATTTACAGCAGGCCCAGGACTCAGTGCCAGGCATGGAGGGGACCTGCCGTCCCGAAGGTGTCCTGGACGCCGCCCTGAGCCTGCTGGTGCCACACCTGCTTTCTCTCGTTGACGTCTCACACAAGCACACAACTTCAGCTATTTACTGGACCAGGAGAGTAACCCATGATCCAATCCTTTTCTGATCATCTACAGAAGGCAGTAGAAAGGATCTGCTGTCAGGAGCTCGTTTCTCTCTGAGCTGTGTGACCCTGGGCACGTTAACTTTAGCTCTCTGAGCCTCTGTTTCCACGTCTGTGATAGATGGACACTGTAATGCAGACCTCATAAGGTCGTGCTGAGGACACAGCAAGAGCGAGCGTGTCTGAGCTTCCAGCCCCTTAAC